ATCTCCCTACAAAAATTTACAAGTCGAAAAATTGAGAAATCGGAAAGCCGAAAAATCGAAAAAACGAAGAACAGAAAAATTGAAAAATCATAGCATTGAAAAATCGAGACGTCAAAGTTGAAAACTGAAAAATGAAGAAACCGAAATACTGAGAAGCCGAGGAATCGATAAATCCAAACACTGAAAAATCCAACAAGGAAAAATTCAAAAATAGCAAAATCGAAAAAGTTGAAATAAAACGAAAAACTGTCAAGTTTCTTGTCGAAAAATCTAGAAGTCGAAAAGTCGAAAAATCGAAAAAATTAATATAAAATCAAAAAATCGAGAAATCGAAGTTGAAAAATTGAAAAACAAAAAGCGTAGAAATCGAAAATTCGAACAAGTGGAAAATACAGGTTTCTTTCAACAACACCATACTTAAAAACAGGTCTCAGATGGTAATTTCTCGTAGAAAAATAAGGATTTTGCAGTTAAGCTCCGCCCCTTGTTCTGACGACCAATGAAAAATTCGTCACAATTTAGATTGGGGCGGGTGGGCGGGGCTTAAAATTTTCCTTTTTTTTCTTCTTAATATACATACTCTTCACAATCAGAGACCAACAAACATGTTTAAAATGGTACATTTTAATCTCCACACTTCTCCATAAATTTAAATTTAATTTTAAACACGTTTTCAGTTTCTTGTCGTGAATCGAAAACTACGTACATATATTAATAAAAAAAGGTAACATATAAACCCCGCCCACCCGCTCTCATCTCAATTGTGATGACTTTTTTATTCGTCGTGAGGCGAGGGGCGGAGCTTAATTGCAATCTACACGAAACTACTATGTGAAACATGTTTTTAAGCACATATCATGTTGTTTAAACACAAAAAGGTAAAAATAAGCCCCACCCACCCGCCCCAACCTCAATTGTGATGAATTGTTCATTCGTTATCCGACCGAGGGGCGGAGTTTAATCGTAAAATCGATATTTCTCTACAAAAATGTACCATTTTAAATAGGTATTAAGTATCTTATTGTGAAAAAAAGTCTACGTGTATTCAGCAAAACAAGGCAAAATATAAGCCCCGCCCACCCACCCGAGTCTCATTTGCGATGAATTTCTCATTCGTTGTCAGAAAGAGGGGTGGAGCGTATTTGCAAAAACGATATTTCCATACAAAAAATTACAAGTCGAAAAATTGAGAAATCGGAAGGTCGGAAAATCGAAACAACGAAGAACAGAAAAATTGAAAAATCATAACATTGAAAATTCGAGACGTCGAGGTTGAAAACTGAAAAATGGAGAAACCGAAATACTGAGAAGCCGAGGAATCGATAAATCCAAACACTGAAAAATCCAACAAGGAAAAATTCAAAAATAGCAAAATCGAAAAAGTTGAAACATCGAAAAATTTAGAAATAAAGAAGTCAAAAAATTCAGAAATCAAAAAACCGAAGTCGAAAAACTGAAAAGTCGAAGAAACGAAAAACCTTTAGGTTTCTTGTCGAAAAATCTAGAAGTCGAGAAGTCGAAAAATTTAGAAATCGAAAAGTCGAAAAATCGAAAAAATTAATAGAAAATTGAATAATCAAAAATCGGGAAATCGAAGTTGAAAAATTGAAAAACCAAAAGCGGAGAAATCGAAAATTCGAACAATTGGAAAATCGCAGAATTGAGAAATCGACAGATCGAAGTTGAAAAATTGAGAAAACGAAAAATCCAGTTTTTTTTTATAATGTTATGAAAAAAAACTCGATTTTTCGTTTTCTCAATTTTTCAACTTCTCGACTTCTAGATTTTTCAACAACACCATACTTAAAAACGATGGTAATTTCTCGTAGAAAAATAAGGATTTTGCAGTTAAGCTCCGCTCCTCGTTCTGACGACCAATGAAAAATTCGTCACAATTGAGATTGGGGCGGGTGGGCGGGGCTTAAGATTTTCCTTTTTTTCTTCTTAATATACACACTCTTCACAACAAAAAACCGAAAACATTTAAAACTGGTAAATTTTATTCTCGACACTTCTCCACAAATTTAAATTCATTTTTAAACATCTTTTGAATTTCATGTCGTGAATAGAAAACTGCGTACATATATTAAGAAAAAAAGGACAAAATACCAACCCCGGCCACCGGCGGAAATTGACGAATTTTTTCATTCGTCGTGAGACGAGGGGCGGAGTTTAATTGTAAAATGCTTATTTCTCTACAAGAAGCTACCATGTGAAACATGTTTTTAAGTATCACGTTGTTGAAAGAAAAAAAGTTAAAAATAAACCCCACTACAAACTTCTCTACAAACATTTACCATTTTAAAAAAGTATTAAGTATCTTATTGTGAAAAAAAGTCTACGTGTATTCAGCAAAACAAGGCAAAATATAAGCCCCGCCCACCCACCCGAGTCTCATTTGTGATCAATTTCTCATTCGTTGTCAAAAAGAGGGGTGGAGCGTAGCTGCCAAAACGATATCTCCCTACAAAAATTTACAAGTCGAAAAATTGAGAAATCGGAAAGCCGGAAAATCGAAAAAACGAAGAACAAAAAAATTGAAAAATCATAACATTGAAAAATCGAGACGTCGAAGTTGAAAAATTGAGAAATCGAGAAATTTAAAAATTGAAAAATGAAAAAACCGAAATACTGAGAAGCCGAGGAATCGATAAATCCAAACACTGAAAAACCCAACAAGGAAAAATTCAAAAATAGCAAAATCGAAAAAAATTGAAATATCGAAAAATTTAGGAATAAAGAAGTCAAAACATTCAGAAATCAAAAAACTGAAAAGTTGAAAAATTGAAAAAATTAACAGAAAATTGAATAATCAAAAAATCGGGAAATCGAAGTTGAAAAATTGAAAAACCAAAAGCGGAGAAATCGAAAATTCGAACAACTGGAAAATCGCAGAATTGAAAAATCGACAAATCGAAGTTGAAAAATTGACAAAACGAAAAATTGAGTTTTTTTCATAATATATACAGGATTCCATACTTAAAAACATGTTTCAGATGGGAATTTCTCTAAATAAGGATTTTGCAGTTAAGCTCCGCCCCTCGTTCTGACGACCAATGAAAAATTCGTCACAATTGAGGTTGGGGCGGGTGGGCAGGGCTTAAGATTTTCCTTTTTTTCTTCTTAATATACATACTCTTCACAGCCAGAGACCAACAAACATGTTTAAAATGGTAAATTTTAATCTCCACACTTCTCCATAAATGTAAATTTGATGTTAAACACGTTTTCAGTTTCTTGTCGTGAATAGAAATCTACGTACATATATTAATAAAAAAATGCAAAATATAAACTCCGCCCACCCGCTCTCATCTCAATTGCGATGACTTTTTTATTCGTCGTGAGGCGAGGGGCGGAGCTTAATTGCAAAGTCGATATTTCTCTATACGAAACTACAATGTGAAACATGTTTTTAAGCACATATCATGTTGTTTAAAGACAAGAAGGTAAAAATAAGCCCCAGCCACCCCCTCAACCTCAATTGTGATGAATTGTTCATTCGTTATCCGACCGAGGGGCGGAGTTTAAACGTAAAATCGATATTTCTCTACAAGAAACTACATTGTGATAATCTGAAACGTGATTTTAAGTACATATCATGTTGTTGAAAGACAGAAAGTTAAAAATAAGCCCCACCCACCCGCCCCAACCTCAATTGTGATGAATTGTTCATTCGTTATCCGACCGAGGGGCGGAGTTTAATTGTAAAATCGATATTTCTTTACAAAAATTTACCATATTACGTATATTCAGCAAAAGAAGGCAAAATGTAGGCCCCGCCCACCCACCCACACATGAATTGTAACGTTTATTTCATTCGTCGAGACTTGCAGGGCGGAGCTTAATCGCAAAATCCTTATTCCTCTACAAGAAATTACCATGTGAAACATGTTTTAAGTATCGCGTTGTTGAAAGAAAACTAATTATATAAATATTAAGGAAAAAAAGTCAAAATTAAGCTCCACGCACATCACAAAATTGAAAAATCGCAAAATTGAAAAATTAAGAAAACGAAAAATCCATAAATCAAAACCTCGAAAAATTAATTCGAAAAACCGGGAAAGTGGAAAGTCGGAAAATCTAGAAATCAAGAATTCGAAAAATTGAGAAATCGAAAAATTGAAAAATCGAAAGTCGAAAAATAGAGATTTGCAATTAATTTCCGCCCCTCGGTCTGACTACGAATGAAAAATTCGTCACAACCGAAACAGGGCGGGTGGGCGGGGCTTATAATTTTCCTTGTTTTCTTCTTAACATATATATGTACTCTTCACAACAAGAGACCAAAAACATGTTTAAAATGATAAATTTTATTCTTCACAAATTTAAATTTAATTTTAAACATGTCTTCAGTTTCTTGTTGTGAATAGAAAACTACGTACATATACTACGGAAAAAGAGACGCAAAATACAAACCCCGCCCACCCGCCCTCGTCTCATTTGTGATAACTTTTTTATTCGTCCTGAGCCGAGGGGCGGAGCTTAACTGAAAAATACTTATTTTTCTACAAGAAACTACCATGAGAAACATGTTTTTAACTATCATGTTATTGAAAGAAAACTGAAAAAAAGAAAAAATAATTTACCATTTTAAACATGTTTTAAACATTATGTCGTGAAAAGAAGTTTGCGTATATTAAAAAAAGACAAAATTTAAACCCCGCCCACCCACCGCCCTCTCAGTTGAAGAAATTACCATCTGAAACATGTTTTTAAGTATGGTGCTATTGAAAGAAACCTGTATATATTAAGGGGAAAAAAAATAACCAGGTTTCCTCAAAATCTTGTCTTTGCTTGTCTTTCATTGCCTTACCCTCACACTAGATCTTTGTGAAAGTTAACCCCCCAGTTTTGACCCGAACCTAATAAAGACCCTTTCGGACGAGCTATTTTTGAAAATAAAGGTATCAACTGTGATCGTGTACGTAGCTACTTTCAAGATACCTCCTGGCCAAATTTGATCCTTTAATGGCTAAAAATCTATCTTTTTCATCCATCAGGTCATCCTCGTAAAATGGAACGAACCCTACCAAAAACTCGCCTCCTGCGACAGCTCGGGCATAATCTTCGTCTGGATCAAATACGAAGGCCGCTGGTCCATCGAGCTCATAAACGACCGCAACACCCCCGTCACCCACTTCTCCTGGTCGCACGACGGCCGCATGGCCCTCATCTGCTACCAAGACGGCTTCGTCCTCGTCGGCTCCGTCGCCGGCCAGAGATACTGGTCCTCCATGCTTAACCTCGAAGCCACCATCACTTGCGGCATCTGGACCCCCGACGACCAGCAAGTCTACTTCGGCACCACCTCCGGCCAGATCATCGTCATGGACGTGCACGGCGCCATGGTCTCGCAAGTCCAACTCAGCTCCGAGGTGGGCATCACCTCCATGGCATGGTCCTGCGAGAAGTTCAAGATGGAGGAAGGCGACGACAACGACCCCGGGGTGACCAACGCGGCGGAGCGCAAGTTCGTCTTGGCGGTGTGTCTCCAGAACGGGTTCATCTTCTTGTTGAAGACCTTCGACGACGTGTCGCCGATTCAAATCGACACGGGGTTGCAAGGCCCGCTGTGTATGGAGTGGAGCAACTCGCGGGAGCTGTTGGCGGTGGCGGGGGTGGCGTTCGACGCGAAAGCCGCCACCGCGACGGAGTTCACGAATTTGTTGAAGTTCTATAACGAAAAAGGGGTGCTTCTGTATTCGGCTATGGTGCCGTTTTGTCAGGTGAGTGGAAGGGTGGAGGGTGGAAATGTTGTACAAATGTCGTTGCAGGCGCCCGTGTCCGCCCTCACGTGGGGTCACAACGACAAAAGACTATTTTTGGCAACGGGGACCCAAATCCATATCGCCTGGGTGTCGAGGAGGATCGCGACCCTCCAACTTCTGTGTAGACTAAAGATCCATGATTCGATCCAGCAGGAGAGTCAGCTACCGGCGCTGCCGCTCCCGGCTAGAATCAGGAACCTGATTGGGAATTTGTTTGCTCAAACGATTAGGGTAAGTTTTAACTTGACCCAGTCGAAGGTTCAAGGGTTTGTTCCAGTGTTGCGTCCCGGAACCCAGCGCCTTGAGGGAGTTCGTGTCCAGACCACCAGTGGGATCGGTGCGGCTGCACTGTACCATGATTCGTCACGACGACGACAACAACTTGTCCTCCGGGACGTGCTACACCCTCTACTTGGAGTACCTCGGGGGGTTGGTTCCTCTCTTGAAAGGCAAACGTACCAGTAAAATCCGGCCCGAGTTCGTCATTTTTGACCCTCAAGTGGAGGATATTCACCTTCAGTGGTCCCCCGAGTCCAAGAGCTCTGGGTCTTCTGGTCACTCCACGAGCGGCGGCGGCCTCCTCACCGACTCCTCGGATAGCGACCGTGAAGAAGGGTGCACCAGCTCTCCTAGGATGCAACGAAGACGAAAAAGAAGAAACAAATCACACACTCGCGTACCCAATGAGCGCCAGTCGGGTCAAAGCTCCGGAGATGCCGACCAAGAAGATCTAGCCTACGTGGATACCCTCCCCGAGCACGTGCGGCTAGTGGAAGTCACGTCCAACATCTGGGGTACCAAGTTTAAAATCCACGGGTTGGCGTCTTCGGTCCCGGCGAACCTCGGTCAAGTCACGTATAAGACGTCGCTCCTGCACCTCCAACCTCGTCAGATGACTCTGGTCATGACGGAGCTGCGGGACGACTTCCCCGTGGTACCCGATCCGACTTTCAACCCGAATTTGTTTTCCGAGGATGAAGAGGAGGTCCAAGTGGACGGGAAAAAGATCCCGAGGGTGTCGATCGATAATAGTCCGCCCATTGCCCCCATGTCGCCCCGCGGGAACCGCTTAGGGCGTCCTAAACCTCTAGCTGAAGTCCCGAGGAACCTCCCGGTTTTAGCCAAACCGGAGTCGTACGAAGACGCAGACTTGGGGGAAATCGGGTTCTGTGATAGTATCCGTCCACAGACGTCGGGAAGTGTCCGGAACGGGAACAGCACCCAAAGCACGAGCTTCGTGGGGCAGTTTAACCGCAACGGTAACGGAACGAACGGTAATCAAAGACATGCCATTTCGCCGCTTTGTTGTGAAGGCTCAGTCCCGGCGCTTCAGAGTCCGAAGAACGCGGTAGCCCCCAGTGATATTATCTTTGATAGACCTCCAGCCCAGACCTTGATTACCTACTCCAGCGACTATTCCAACAACGTCCAGCAGATGAAGAACTCGTTCAACGAACATCACCAGAAAGCGGTGATTGTGAAGAAAGCTGAGGAACCGAAAGAGAAAAAAGGGAAAGATATGACGTACATCGACGAGGAGCATGTGGAGGCCCTTCCAGGTCCTTCGACTCCAGTCCGCCCTTCTACCGCTTTGTGCCTCGCCGACTCTATGGTGAGGAGCTGCAGCGTGGGGTATCTGGACATGGTGGACGCCCAGTTGGTACCAAGCGACGTGGCACTCTTGATGTTGCGCAAAGACGCCCCCAAGCGACTGGTACTAGTAAACCGGAAACACAAAACCAAGAGGCAGAGTCGCCAGAATCGACACCTCCAGGAGAACAACAACAGGAATAAGTCACCCAAGTTGAAGAACTGCGGCAAGTCGAAGAGTCTCGACTCGAGTGATTTGTTCCCCAATACGGAACCCATCACCAAGGCGAACTTCATCGAGGAAACCATCCCCGAGGTGAACAAGTCGAGCAGTTCTTCACCAGACAACGTCGACGAAAACTCCAACAAGAAGGAAACTAAGTTGGGGTTCTTCGCGTCGCGGTCGCCTCTAATGCGACGAAAGAAACCAGAAGGGGAGAAAACCCGAAGCAGACCTAAACAGAAAGCGGTAGGTCAAGTGGAAACCCAAAACCAGAAAAACGGAATGCCTTTGCACACCCAAGCACTAGCCAACTTGGAGAAGTTGATCACCAGGTTGAGGGAAGATGATAAGGCGACGCCTCCGGCGTCGCCCCGACTCCCTAGAAGCTCACCATCGTCGCCCGCCCCCAGCAAAAAGGGTAACTAAGTACGTCTGTCACATCTCGTTGCTGTAGCTCCCTTCTAGGTAAAAGACCTCAATCCGCGTCCCCCATTCGCAAGAATTTACTATCATCGCCGCTTCTCGGGCGTCGGAGTAAGAAAAACCGCCACCAAGAGAGTTCCGACGACGAAGTGACCGCCTCCGGAGACGAGGTCTTCAACGGGACGAACTACCGAGACCTCGAGACCTTCCAAAAGGCGCAATTGAGGCAAAAGGTGTGTCCCGTCCCAGTTTTCCTTTTTTCTAAGTTGTGTTCAGTTAAAGAGGGGAAAAATCGAGCCCAACGGGAGCAACTGCAACAACCATTCGGTGCCGCAACGCCGGGAGTTCGTCATGCATAACAAAGCCCCCATGTGGAACGAAAACAGCCAGGTGTACCAGCTGGATTTCGGGGGCCGCGTCACCCAAGAGTCGGCGAAGAATTTCCAGATCGAGTTCCGCGGAAAACAAGTAAATACGTTTCGAAATTTTGCGGTTATGTTATGTCTTTCGATTTCCAGGTGATGCAGTTCGGGCGCATCGACGGCAATGCCTACACCCTAGATTTCCAGTATCCATTTTCAGCTCTTCAGGCGTTCGCAGTGGCTTTAGCAAACGTTACGCAAAGACTCAAGTAAATATCTAGGAAGCATATCTCAGATTTTTGAAACCGGTGCCAATTTTGCCATTTATCGTAGTAAAGAAAAGTAAGGTGTAGAGCAGGTCGTTACCGGGCTTTGAACCGACCAAATCAATATAATCAAAGTGTTCCATTAAAAAATTAAGTACAATCTTTGAAACAGATAGCCACCCTACCTTACTTACTTTACTCAAAATCGAGTAGTTGCGTTTAAGTAACTCGTGCTGCTGGTGGATTGGGGGTGGTTCATTTTTCGGGGTTTTTCGGTTTACCGGGGTGGAGCAGACACACAAAACATCTTTTTTGACCGTCCGATAATTAAAAGATCAACAGGTGGCTGAGGCACACTATTTTTATATTAGCCTAATAAACTAACGTTCGAGAATTCTAAATGAGCTGCGTTGACTTCAAAGTTTCAAAAACTTGGATTTTTTTATATACGACTACATGTATGGAACAACTGCTAACGCTTTAATTTATTGTTAACTGTTATGTGTGATATATACGTACGTTTTTTTGTAATTATGTTTCTTGGAAAGTTTTTATCTCTAAATGAAGTTTGTGTTGTATCAAATTTGGATATACAAAAGATTGTTCGTAAATGATATTTGTATGTGCATACATAAATAAATGCTTTTTTATGGACACGGCCTTTTTTTCAAAACCAAAAATTTTCAAAAAAACACATCATTGTGTCGGTTATGCAACCAACACGTCACTCGATTACAGGAACCTGCATTACCGCCGTCGTTCAATGACAAGTGACATGCGTGCGACCTAACCTCAAATCAGTCACCCCTTCGAAAAATGGACTATGTCGAGGAACAAAAAGGCGAGATCGAGGCACTAGAATCCATCTACTACGGCGACTTACAAAGTAAGTTGTCCCCCACGCACCCCCCCATTCTAACCTCTCGTTTAGTTCTAGCGACAGAGCCCCTTCACAAATTCTCAGTCCCCATAAAATCTGAAGAGTACGACCCTGAAATCGAAAACACCGGCCTATCGTGCGACCTCGTATTCACCTATACACCGAAATACCCGGAGGAGTCTCCTGAAATTAGTATAGAAAATAGCGAAAACTTTGAGGACCAGTATGAAACCGAATTGCTGGATTTTTTGCGGGAGCAAGTCCAAGAAAATTTGGGGATGGTGATGATTTTTACGTTAGTGTCGTCGGCGCAGGAGTGGTTGAACGTTCGGTTTGAGGAGGTGAAGAAGACGCGAGATGAGGAGACTGCGAGGAAATTAAAAGAGGAAGAGGAGGCAGAAAGGGTAATTGTAATTATTAATCTTGTGTGATTAATGAAAATTTTGGGGGGTGTAGAAGCGGTTCGAAGGCACGCGGGTCACCGTTGAAACGTTCCTGAAGTGGAAAGTGAAGTTCGAGGACGAAACGGGTATAACAAAAAAGCGTGAAATTAGTGAAAAGGAAGGGAAAAAATTAACGGGGAGAGAGCTGTTCATGACTGACTACACGTTGAATGAATCTGACCTGAAGTTTCTTGAAGATGGTAAGAATGTCATTTTCGAAACGTTTTTTGATTGGGAATTGCAGGTGATGCTGTTAAAGTTGATGAATCGTTGTTCCAAGATTTAGATGACCTGGATTTAGATGATGAGGACGACGAAGACTTTGATCCTAACAACTTCAGCGACGGCTCCACTGATTAATTTAATTTTTTCTATTATTATTAATTGTGTAAGAAGTTTAATTTTGAAAATAAATTTTGTCTTTTGCTAATGGTGTCTAAGGTGTCGCTGCCGGTATTTAAAATTGGTGGTGGGCGTGGCTTACGTGCGTCAAACGACGTCACACCAAGCTGCGCCGCGCAGATGATCACCAACCAATCAAATCATCACCAAGCCACAAGAGTAAAGGAAAGTTCAAACCACTTCTCACACGAAGTACAATTTTTTATTAACTTTCAATCGTTACATGAATACCGACATACCATCAAATGTCACTAGAAAAATACTAAAGGATTTCGAAAAACCAAAAACATAATGGAAACAATTTATTTTTAAAATAACTTAATAACATAGTACTGACTGTAAGGACAAAGGTCGTTTTAAAAAAAGAACCAATATAGCCTTAATTGACAAAAATCGCAACTAAGGAATTATTTATTAATTTCTAACGCTGTACAATGCAATAGTGTCCGTTTTACTTACAATCCCTATTAAACATACGACATACGAGTAAGCCCAAAGTCACTGGATAAGTGTTACCTCTTCCTTGTCATACGTTTAATAAGAGCCATCTACATAAAAAAAGTCCTATTGCTTGAATGAATTTAAAACGTGAAGTTACATGATGTTGATGCAACATTTTGGAATTGATGGTAATTCTTTGCTCCCTTGGCAGTGTTTAGAAGGCGAACAACAACAAGAACGCCATCATCAAACAGAACAGACCCATGGCCTCGGACAGGGCGAAACCCAAGATGGCGTACGAGAACAACTGCTGCTTGAGGCTGGGGTTTCTGGCGTAGCCGATGATGAGGGAGCCGAACACCGTCCCGATACCAGCTCCTGAACGTCAAAACACCTTCAGAAACCTATTCTAACCTCAAATCTGCATGCACAAAGACACATACAACCAGACAACACCATAAGCTTATTAGTTTATTTACTACTTTAAATGATTAAAAAGCAAACAACAGTAAAAACGCGATCATGAGACAGAACAGGCCCATCGCTTCCGACAGAGCGAACCCGAGGATAGCGTAAGAGAACAACTGCTGCTTCAGCGTCGGGTTTCTAGCGTATCCCAGTATCAAGCCGCCGAAAACCAAGCCGATCCCAACACCTACAATCAACTGGGTTAGAAACATGCACGGGTTTTGTTAGCGACCTCGGATCTAGTTAGGTTCGAGTTAAGCGTGCAGTGGGGGGCGCTGAGGAAGTACCTGATCCAGCTACTCCTACTGTGGCGGCACCGGCACCGATGAATTTAGCAGCTGAATCGATATCTCGGGTTACTGGAGTTGTCTGGAAACTCCTGACGGCTGGGAGGAGTGTGGGCTGTTTGTGTTGCTGAACGACGGGACTCTGTACTAACGACGTGTTTTGGCTAAGGGCCGTGCTGATTGGCCTTAGATATACTTTGGAGTTTGAGATGAGCTGCAAAAAAAAAATCGTCAGATTTCAAATTTCCAAAAATATGTATACACATTGACGAGATTTTATTTCAGACATCCAAGGAAGTTAAAATTCGTCACATTTTTCAGTGAGTCAAAAGTGTCATCACGTTCAGGTTTATGTTTATCGGCACATTAATAAATCAACAGAAAATGTTATTATTTTAACTGCAAAAATCGAAGTGTTTTTACATAACGAAAACGTTTTTAATTTTCTTAAAAAACATATTGCTACACTTGTGGTTTATGAATCCGTGTCGAGTTTTTACCGTCGACATAAATTGATTACGTATCTTTGCTAAAATGTTGACAACCAGGACGTGCTCGCTGCGCTTCTTCTAAATGTTCTTTTTTCTAAAGTTTTTGAATATTCACGAAGACTCAACGAAGTTACTTGGCTTCAAATGTAACAACAAATCTCTAGATTAAAAAAAAAAAACATTCTTAGAATTCGAGCGCAACGCACGTTCAGGTCATATCAAGTTTAAACCATTTTTATAAAACCTGAACATTCCCAATCAGACCGAAGGGCGGAGTTTAATTATAACATCAATATTTCTCTAAAAAATTCTACCTTTTTAAAAACATGTTTTATATGGTAATTTGTTGTAGTCAATGAGGATTTTGCAGCCAAACTCCGCCCTTCAGAGCTCACAATGAATAAAATATTCATCACAATTGAGAAGGGGTGGGTGGGCGGGGCGTATATTTTGTCCATTTTTTTCTTAATATACGAAGTCTTTTTTTCCCAACAAGAAACTGAAAACATGCGCAGCGAGCACCTTCAGGTTGCCACTCGAATTTTAGTATTCATCAAGATTCTCAATATTAACTTACCACACTAAAAAATTTTGAATAATAACTTAGCTTCCGACACCAATGAATAATTTTAAACAACACCTAAATGTGCTCGCTGAACTCGCATTTTGAATATTCTTTTTTTTAATTAATTTAGTGTCAAAACGATTTATAAATGAACGGTCAGCAATTACTCTGAAAAAGTTAACGCCTAAAATGCGAGCGTAGCGAGCACGTTTGGGATTTTTCTGAAGTTAGCTTCTCGGGGACACCAATGAAAGATTTTATAAGTACACCTGAACGTGCTCGCTGCGCTCGCATTCTTTTTGTTTTTTTTTTGGATAATAAATAATTTATTTCGCGCAATTGTCTACAAAGAAAATTTAGCATGTATACGATTGAAAATAGCAGTCTGAATAAATATGAAGCCAAACGAAACTTATTAAAAAAAACACGATTAAAATGCGAGCGCAGCGAGCACGTTCAGGTTTCATCACAAATGGCTGTTTAACACCCCTAGGAAGGTAAATTGATGAAAAAAATATAACAAAATGCTAATAATTTAAACGTTTTTTTTTTAATATTTCAGAAGAAACTCCAACATGCTCGCTGCGCTTGCATAATGTAGTATCAAAAAACAAAAAATAATCGCCATTAATCAATGCTAAAAAAAATAATTACAACAAACAATAGTAGAACTTTCAATTTTTTGCAGAAGTTGAATCGAATTTGATTCATAGTGTGTCCAATCAACCCTGAGTAGGACAGCCAGTGACATTTGCCGCCTCTCTATTTCGGTATCGCGTACTACAAGAGCTATATTTACTCCCGTCAATAACAAGGTATTTGTAGGGTGTAATTATGTCATCACTGATGCCAACCGTAGGGCACAGCCCACTCGGAATCAAAACGTTTTCATTGGCACTTCGTCAATACAGCCACGCGCCGACATTATCCAATTATCAATTTTAATAAAGATTAAAAACTTGGAATTGAGTTTCCACGATTGATAAATCTGTTACATAAATGATTAGTTACGTATGACGCATTCGTGCGTGCCAACTATTAAAGTTAAAATTACTACGTTTTTGACGCAAGTGCGTTAATAAATAGCTAAAAAGCAAAGACGTGCTACGATTTTGCTACAATTGCAGCGAAAGAAATTACGAAATCGTAATTTCCGTGTGATAAAAGCCGTCTTTGATAAATCATTACATCCCAGCAGGCTTACCAACTGGAACTAAAATCACTACATAACCACAACAGTGACAGATTAGCAATTTTAATGAACGATGACCGGAACAAAGGGCACAATTTGTTAAAAACGAACCACAAAACGAATTTGTGCTAAAAAATCGGGTTATGTAACCCACGAAACCTAAAAATCGGTAGATCAATGACGTTGGGATGTGGCAAGCAAACTCATTACATAACAAGACACGGGATCGCCGTTTTTTCCAAAGTTATCACACAAAGTCATCCACTTTTGCAATTTTCGCACAAAATAAACCACTTTCTGTTAATTTCTAACCAATTTAAACACCCTCCGCTGAGTTTAAAAAAATCAACTTGTACTTACGGCGCTCCTGGCGGCTGGGGCAATCAATCTAGCGCAGGCGAACATTTTGAAATTTTCCCCTTGGAATCGACTAAAGAACCTGAAAAAACACGCCGATTAGCAACTCGTCTCAGCTTACCCCAGTGGCGTCCGGGTTACGTAACAACAAACCGGGCGAAACTCGACCAAAACCACCACAGCGGCACCCAATCGCCACCCTCTCCACCGACCACCTAGGCACGGTCGCACTTCGCCCGAAAATCGCCCCAAACAATCAAACCCCGACCGGGACTGACACTCCGGACAATAATGGCGCAAGATGTCGGTTTTTCGGGTCGGACAAGTCGGCTCTGGATGCGACAATCGCGCAAAATAACGACGGCGGGGCGACCTGATGGCGAAACGGCGACCGGGAGCGGCGGTTTTGGGGGCGGATGGCGGCGTCGGGGGCGGAAAATCGGGGCTAAGACTTACTTATGACACGGCGGCGTTCGCTCACAGTAGTGTCGGAGGAGGTGACCAGGAGGTGGAATGTGGACGCAGGAGTGACAGTTCGGGCAGGAACCGAACGGCGCATGCGCGAGTGCAGGCCGGTTTCGGGTGGGATGCCGTGGAGGCGAGGGTTGAGGTTAAACCCGCCAGGTGGCGCAAACATCACCGATTTTCAAAAAAATATATTATTGTATGTACTTCCAGGTTTTTGTATTAATTAAGACGACAAAAAATACAACAATTTGCTTATTCGTACAAAAAGCTTGGTCTAAAGTCTGTTGCAGTAGCGACTATTTTAGAATTACGTTTGTGTGTTTTGTGGGTTGCCTACATGTCAGTCAGATTTAGACAAGTTTTCACGTTATTGTCGTTTTTTGAACCACTTTTTGAGTTAACAATTGCTTTATTTTGTAGCACGGGGGCAACAATAGTCGCCCCGTCCAACTAACCCGAGTATGTTGTCTCCTTCCATTTGACAAACATTCTAACCTCACTTTTGCAGCCACAATGCTCTCTCAATCTCAAACCACCCAATTTATAAAAACCGAACCCCCGTCGATGTCTTTTTTCCCCTGCGCCGAGACCATCCAACCCTTCCAGTGCAATAAATGCCCCAATTATCAAACTTCGTCGTCAGTGCACCATAGAAGTCACCACAATGAGCCCCCACACAAGCCAATCTTAACGTGCCGAAAGTGCGACTTTACAACCTACTCAAAATTGATTTTTTTCAGGCACCGAATCCGCGACGAGTGTGTCAAAACTACGATTTTCCAGTGTAACCGGTGTCCCTACAATTTCCCAAATAGAACTCAATTGAACCGACACACTAGGTACATCCACGGCATTCACTGCGAACAGTGTGACTTTACCACACCGTGGAAGCAAAAACTAGTGGATCACGTAATAATCAAACACTTATCGGACGATCAAATCCAGTGGGTACATTGTAACTATTGTGCGTCCAAATTCAAGCTGGAAAAGTACCTCCGGAAGCACCTCAAGTACCAGCACCCCAAACCCGACGAAATCACGTGGATTCCGTGCGAAAAATGCCCGTTAAAATTTAAATTGAAAATGCAGCTGAAGCGTCACATGATTTTGAGGCATTTACACGATTCTGAGATTGAATGGTTCAAGTGTGAACTGTGCACGGCACGATTTAAATATAAACAGTGTCTAAAGGAACACACTATAGCTAAACATTTACATGAATCGGAAATTCAGTGGTTTGAATGCGGCCGCTGCACTGCACGTTTTAAATATAGACACTCTTTAAAGTACCACATTGTGGCCAAACACTCACTAGTGAGTGAAATTCAGTGGTTCCAGTGTGACAAGTGCAGAGCTAAGTTCAAGCACAAACAAAATTTAAAAAACCACTTCAGACTGAAGCACTTGGCGGAGAACGAAATTCGGTGGTTTAAGTGTGATCATTGCACTTTGAGGTTCAAAGCAAAGAAGAATTTGAAGAAGCACATGATTGGGAAGCATTTGCCTGAAGATGAGATTCGGTGGTTTAAATGTGAGGAGTGCACGAGTAAGTTTAAGTTTAAGTGTGCGCTTAGTAAACACTTTAAGAGGAAACATATGCTGGAGAGCGAGATTCAGTGGTTCTATTGTGACTATTGTCCGTCTAAGTTTAAGTTTAAGGATGATTTGGTGCGTCACGGGAAGTACTGTAGAGGGAGAAGGTTGAAGAAAGTGGAGCTTTCGGGTGTGGGTGTACACATAAAGACTGAGATAGCTTGAAGCAGGATTGTGTAATTTATTTATTTAATTAGTGTTATAAACATGTTGGTGTGTATTAAATACAATAAATTTCGGTTTTATGTCTGTATTGTTGGTTGCCTAGTTGTTTCCACTTACTAATTAAATTTTCTGCAATAAAAACTCAGTACTGACGAATGGTACAATACAAACGCTGTTAAACCACAAAAGGATTTATTTACTTTCATCCCTGGTAGTTTTATCACAATCCAAAAAAATAACCTCACTTTTCGTAATTGAGGTGACATTTGATTGATGTTAAGGCGCCTTTACACACGAGGGGCTTGATAATGGTGCTTTCACACAGCCGCGCTGATTCAAGTGACGTTTCAAAGATGGCCGATTTAAACACATCATCAATTCCGTATGACTTTATTTATAACATTATCACTGTAATACATTCAGCGTTACTCGCTCTTGGTTGTGTCAAGTTTCTGCCGTTTCTGCATATAGTCCTTGAAAGCAAAAATCGGCGCCTCAAAAGCAAGGTACATGAGAACAGCAAAAGGTAAACTGACGACACAGAGTTCCGTGAAAGTATTAAACTAAAAAATAAGAAAAATAAAACGAAATGTGATTGCTTTAAAATCTTACAATCTGTCGATTGGAAAAAATCAAAGTTTGTTTGGTACTAGAGAACAGAATCATTTGGATGCCACCGTGCACCATGTAGAGACTGTAGGTGAGTTCGCCTAATACTCTAAACACGTAATGGGAGAGAAAAGAGTTGATGTATCCTAAAAATTGTGTTAAATTTTGAAATTACAAAACACAAAATTACCTCCATTTCCTGTGGCACAACTAAAAATTATGTAACATATAGCTAAAGACCACGCCGGTCTGGCTAAACCGTTCCATAGAGCGGCACGATAAACGTCGTATTCTCCCTCAAAGAACTCCAACTGATTCACAATCAGCTTCACCAGCGACAACAACGAAACAAACAACAAGAAGGTGTTCAAGTTTTTCGGAATTTTGACGCTTTGAAGTTGAAGAAGATACCCGAAGAAGAGACCTACTAGCCAGGATGGCATGTGGTAGTACGACGAGTGGAAGAGATAATTCGTGTGATTGTCGCTCCACCTATAAAATTGTAAAGTTTGCACACAGCATAATCCAAAACTTACTCGAAAATCGTAAATCCGATTTGTTTTATGACTGTCACAGTTGAACTGTAGGTCACTGCTGCTAGAAAAGTTAGTCCCATGGTTGTCATGGTTTTCTTGGGGTGTTTTTTAATGAAGAATAAAAATATGGGGGCGCAGAGGTACAACTGGGTGTCGACGGATAAGTACCAGGTGTGGTTGGCGCACTACAATTCTTGGTTATGGGTGGTAACACTGGTAATAGTTGGTTACCCTGCGGAACTTCATCAGTTTGAAAATGTAGAAGATGGAGGTCCACCAATTTTCGGCACACTGGTCTGTGTAGTGGTCGATCACGATTTGGCCGTAGGGACCGTCTGTGAAGAGTTTTATCAAGCTGGTGTGGATGAGAACTGTAGCCACTAGGAGGGGTGTCAGTCTAAAATTCATTTTTATTATTGTGGTCCCAATGGAATTGTCAAGTAAATTACCTAATATATCTATTAAAGTAGAACGAAAACAAACTAATCTTGTTTTTGTCTGAAAATTTCAAATAAGTGTAGCTTGACAGTAACCCACTGAGTGTGAAAAACGTGTCAAGAGCGTAGTGACCAGTCCATATAAAGGCACTCGACGGGTTCATTTTCCACTACAATTATAAGTTATAACCCAGAATTTTAAAAAACAACCAAGGTTAGTTTACTTCTGTGACGACATAAATCGGGTTCTTCGAAAGCAACGTGTTACTAAAAGTCACGTGGGCTAGTATAACCCAAAGGCACGCAATCACCCGTATCCCACTCACACAAGTCAACCTTTTCCCTTCGTGTTGATTTAAAAGCTTCTTTATGTTGGTGTATACAGAGAAAATTGTTACAATTCCTGTAATTTTAATTACGTACTATTGTGTCTAAAATGAATTGATTTTTACCAGTTTTTTGTAGATAAAAGTCGTAGACGGTGCTTCCGCAGAGGATGACAGCCACGACAACAAAAAAAGAACTTTATTTCACACCACAATAGAAAAAAAGTTGCCACAATACTCACTAAATGTATAAATCTAGATTGGTAATTGTGACTGGTTGGTTCTTGTGACTGCACAAATCATTTCTGAAACTCAACCGTGCTGGGAGTTTCAGTTTGCTGATTATTTGGTCCGCTATAATTTCCAAATCTTCAGGAGAGCACGATTTTGGGACACAAAGTCCCAAAAGTCCCGTCGTGTTTGCTAGATATTGCAAAACGCCCTCTAGTCTGATTCTTTGGAAATTTTTAGTTTGCTGAAAATGTTGCTGAACTAATTACGAACTAAAAAAGAAAATCCATACGTATTTTGATTTCAGATATAGTAATTCGTCGCTGAGAATCTCGTCACTGATTGTTATAAGAGCGCTACAATACTTTCCCTCGATAGTTCTCCCTCGTACGTGTTCTTTAATGGACAAGCACTGGTCATAATCTCCGAAAATATGTACGTTCCCGTTCAAAATCCCCGCGTTTATTTTACCACTAGCGTCCACCACTGCAAGTTTACGTTAAATCGGGTTTTTACAAACAGGGGTTGTTACTTCTCGACGCCCACAGTTTCATTTTCGACAAGTCTGAAAGGAAAAGTGAGAAGTCTAGGACGCACTTTTTGTTAACGTCACTGGAAAAAAGGGACACCCCGAGGTCCATCAGCTTGAAAGGGGCGCTATACTGGGGGTATGATGTGGCCACGAAGTGTAAAAAAAGTAGATATGCGAGCTTCATGGTAAAAGGCGAGGTTGTGGGCTTGTTGTAGGCAGGCTTTTATTAACTATGGCTTTGATAAGACAATTGTAAACCTTCAGGGTCAATGTTGATTGGTTGAAGGCTGATTGTTAAGTTTATCAGTGGAGGAAATAACCGTTTCATGAATTAATTATAAGGAAGCGACTTCTAACTGAGTGCCAACATGATCAGACTGTTCGAACAACTTCTTGACACACGTCAATTCTTACACATTAAACACTAATTTCCAATGAAGCCCACCTCTGATGCAAATGAACTTCTATAATCGAAAAATTTACATAACTATTTTTACTTCTTGTGCGTCAAATAGTTAATTTTTTTGGCAATTTCGTAGCACAACAAAATAATTTAGTTACCTTCAATAAGGTCGACGTAATAACCAAATTGCCTTTTTATGTTTACAGCTCCTATAAATATGCGAAATATGTAGATAAAATAGACGCCTCATTTCCATACTCGTGAAAATGAATTTTTCATAGCCATGCTCATCATAAAATAAAAAAGGTGCAATTTTGTTGTTTACGATGCTCAAATCGCTCCATCTTTGTGACGTCACGTGCGGTGTGAAAGCACCATCAGCTGCGCTCTGTCGTGTAAAACGCCCCTTACTGTCAACTCAAATGAGGTTATGTCCCAAATAAATTATAATATTTATTATAATGCCACGATAAGCTTGCTCGTCTCGCCCCCATAATGAAGTTCGCGCTCCCCTTCGCCAAATACTTGAGTACCAACCCCAAACTTAACCCCAAAATTTGTATCGTGGGGTCAGGGCCTGCCGGGTTTTACGCCGCCCAGTACATGGCCAGCCGCCTCCAAACCGCCCAAATTGACATTTTCGAGCGGCTGCCGGTCCCTTTTGGTTTGGTAAGGTTCGGGGTGGCCCCAGACCACGCCGACTTGAAAAAGTGCTCGAATGGGTTTGCGAAGACTGCGCTTTTGAAGAATGTGAGGTTCGCCGGGAACGTGGGGCTGGGGAGAGACGTGTCTTTGAGGGAGTTAAAGGAGGCCTACAATGTAGTCTTGTTGGTGAGGAGATAATACGGTTGTAAATTTCGGGATAATTTTGTGATTTGTTTGTAGACATATGGGGTGGATGATAGTTTGCAGTTTGACGTGAAGGGGAAGGATTTGGGGAATGTTTTCCAGGCGAAAGACTTCGTGGGGTGGTACAATGGGGTACCGTGGAATAAAGATCTGCCGGTGGATTTGTCGGGTGAAAGGGCGACGGTGTTTGGACATGGCAACGTCGCGATTGACGTAGCAAGGATTTTATTATCACCAATTGATAAATTAAAGGTTTGTTAAGAAAAATAATCTTCGTCGAAAAATCGTAAAAATGGAAGTTGTAAAGGAGCAAAATAGCAGAGATGCAAACCGTTTCTGTAGAAATTGTACCGCTAGATGGCGCACTACGTGATATTAATTACGATTTTTTTTCCTTTTTATTTCAGACGACTGACATCACTGAGCACTCTCTAGCTTTGCTATCAAAGTCGAAAATCAAAGAAGTGTCCCTGATAGGTCGCAGGGGCCCCCTTCAGGTGTCTTTCACAACCAAAGAACTCCGAGAACTTCTAAATCTCAAAGACTGTTGCAACGTCTGGCAGCCCGAATACATGCTCACCGTTCCCGAAGTAGTCCCCCTGTTAGTCAAACCCAGAAAACGCTTAACAGAACTCATGGTACAAAAATTCGAATCCCGGAAGGACCCCCAACCCGACGAAAAACAACTAAAAATGATATTTTTGCGTTCCCCGGTTGAATTTCTGGGTGACCATAAAGTCAAAGGGGTTAAATTAGTCATAAATAGGTTAGAAGGCGACGACTTACTCAACAAAAAAGCCGTTTCTATAGATATAGACGAAACCGTGGACACTAGTCTTGTGGTCAGTAGCATCGGGTACAAATCCATCAAAGTTGATAACGATATACCATTTGATGGTAAAAAGAACATAGTTAGGAACACCCATGGGAAGGTTGAAGATGGGGTGTATGTGGCTGGGTGGTTGGGGCGAGGGGCGGCTGGGGTGTTGGCGCATACCATGGAGCACGCGTTTGGAGTGGCTTCCATCATCATTAAAGACATAGAAACTGCACAGTTAACACCAAAACCAGGGTTTGACCATGCGGCTAAAATCCTAGAACACAAAAATGTGCAAGTGGTTACGTGGCAGGATTGGTTGAAAATCGACGAGTTTGAGAGGGGGGAGGGTCAGAAGGTGAATAAGCCGCGCGAGAAGGTAGTTGATATTGAACAGATGCTAAAAATTGCCGCTTCGTAGCAATAGTGGCACTGTTGACTAATTTAAGAATAAACGTGCGGGATTTTAGAAACTTATATCGGTGTGGTTTTATTTTTATACCATTTTAAATAAAATCTATTTTGTTTTATTTTGTTTATTGGGTAAAAACAAAAGTGGGGTTATGTCAAACGGCTACGATTTTCGTGCCAAAGCGACCGTTTTTCGCAATTCTAACCCAATTGCTTGTCCAAGGGGCGGCGGCACGGCGTTCCCGATCTGTCTATGTTTGTCCAGAATGTTCCCAAAGAACCTGAAGTGGTCCGGGAACCCTTGGGACCTGGCACACTCTCTTACACTAACAACGCGGTGTTGTTCGGGATGTATAACTACGACAATTTTTATAAAATGTGTGTTAACACACGACCCTTTACCTTTTCCTTGTTTCCCGATGGGTTCTGGGTTGGTAACGGTGGTCCTGAACACTTCGTCCCACCCCAGACGCCCATATAATCCCGCCCAGTTGTTATGGCGGTCTGCAGTGTGTGGCAGACACCACGGAATCAAAGTATTCAGCTGTCGATCCAGAGGGTTGCAACTCTTCCCAGTACCACACTGGCATATGGCACGAGGTTTCCCAAATTTGGTTTGTTTTTTAGAACTAAAAATAACCATATGATCCACTATGCACAAATTTTACTTACTAGTATGGATATTCGAGTTTGTTGGTCATGGTATTGTCCCTCAACTTGACACAAATATTGGGTAAGTCGCGCCAGTCCGACCCTGGTACGCACGGAATGTACAAAATCCGGGCCTCCACCACCGGCGCCATATCTTTACAAATATGGTCATACAACACGACATTTCCCCCGCGCATTTTTCTCTGAAAATGGGAAACGGGCCCATCGTCGTACGCCATTTTCTCATTACTGTGCCCATTGGAGATGGGTGGAAGGTCTGAAATTGCGTCGCGGACGCAAATGGAGCGATACGGAGCCGATTCCTCCCAGAAGCCATCTACAACAACTTGTACAATCACACGCAAATGTTTTGAGCCTATGGGCGGATCATTTTTGCCGGTCGTCACCGAAGGAGGCGGTCCAAATAGTCCAAAGGTAGAATTTGTAGGTAGGCTCAAACTACAACGAAATTTACGTGTTGACCAAATACTTACCCTGAATTAGTTTTAATTTTATTAATACTTACTCTGAATTAGTTTTAATTTTATAAATACCCTATCTAAAATGTTCAGAATATGATGAGTCTATAGACCTGTGAACCTGTGATTTATCATTGTAGTAATATTTTTTAGATTTACTTATACAGCCTGTCTCAAAAAAAGGTCACTTCGATTTTCGATTTTTCGTTTTTTCGACCAACAGTTTCATCGAATTAGATTTTTCAGTTTCCATTTTTCTATCAACTTTTCGATTTTATTACTTTCTAATTTTCTAATTTTTCAAATTTGCGGTATTTTGGTTTTTCGAGTTTTCAGTTTTTTCGTTTTTCGATTTTTTAATTTTTCGTTTTTTTGATTTTTCGATGTTTCGATTTTTTAATTTGCCATTCTTTCAATTTTCGATTTTTCGTCTTCCCATTTTTAGATTTTTTGATTTTTCTGTTCGTCAGTTTTTAGACTTTGCAATTTTTTGCATTTTTCGATTATATTTTACTTTCCGATTTTTTTGATTTTTGAATTCTCGATTTTACGTTTTTAATTCTTCGATTTCCGATTTTTCAATTTTCCGGTTTTTTAATTATTCTATTCTCGATTTTTCGATTTTCCATTAATCATAAAATTTTTCGATTTTTCGGTTGTTTTATTTTTCGACCTTTGATTTTTCAACTTTCGATTATTCGATTTTCCATTTTCTGATTTTACGATTTTTCGATTTTCGTTTTTCCGCTTTTGTGGTTTTTCGATTTTTCTGTTTGTTTCAGTTTTTATGATTTTGCAATTTGCAGCTTTTAGATTTCAGTTTTGTTACTTTCCGATTTTCCACTTTTCGATTTTTTGATTTTTTTCGATCGCCGTTTTTTCGATTTTCATTTTTTCGATTTTTTGATTTTTCAATTTTTAGGCCTTGCAATTTTTTTACTTTTCGCTTTTTCGAGTATTTGTTTCATCGAATTTTCGAGTTTTCGATTTTCGATTTTTCGGTTTTTCCATTTTCCGATTTTCGATTTTTCGATTTTCCATGTTTAGATATTTTTCGTTTTTTTTTTATTTTTCGATTGTTCTGTTCGTCAGTTTTGTGACTTTGCAATTTTTACTTTTCCACTTTTCTATTATTTTAGTTCGGATTATTAAATTTTTGAATTTTCGTTTTTTTTTTCATTTTTCGATTTCCGATTTTTTAATTTTTCGATTTGTCGATTCTCGATATTCCGATTTTCGATTTTTCGATTTTCCAATCTTCGATTTTTCAATTTCCAGTTTTCGATTTTCCACTTTTTGATTTTACGATTTTTCGATTTTTCTGTTCATCAGCTTTTAGGCTTTGCAATTTGTTTACTTTTCGATTTTTCGATAATTTTTTTCCAGTTTTTTGATTTTTGAATTGTCGACTTTTAGAGTTTTCAATATTATGAATTTTCGAATTTTCGGTTTTCCAATTTTTCGATTTTTGGTTTTTCCATTTTTCGGTTTTTTGATTTTTCAATTCTCGGTTTTTCAATCTTGCAAATTTTCGATTTTTCAGATTTGTGAATTTCCAGTTTTTCGATCGACCCACGTATTAGATTCATTGAATTTTCGATTTTCGGTTTTTCAATTTTTTGATTTTTGATTTTCCAGTTTTGTATTTTCAGGTTTTCTGTTTTTCGCATATCTGATTTATCAAATTTTCGATTTTTCGATATTTGATTTTCGAATTTTCGATTGTTCAGTTTTCCATTTTTCAGCTTTTTTACTTTTCGATTTTCCAAATTTTCGAGTTTCAATTTTCAGATTTTTGATTTTTCGATTTTCTTTTTAAATCTTTAAATTTTTCGGTTTTGATTTTTCGAATTTTTGATTTTTAATTTTTCCATTCTTCGGTTTTTAGACTTCAATTTTCTTTGTTTTAAATTTTTCGATATTCTATTTTCCGCTTTTCAGAATTTTCGATTTTCAGTTTTCAGACTTTCGATGATTAGAATTTTGGATTTTTCAGTTTTATGATTTTTCGATTTTTACAAAATTTGATAAGTCGAATTTTCGATTTTTCAATTCATCGATTTTTCAATGTTCAATTTTTCAATTTAAATTTTGCGATTTTCAATTTGTCCATTGTCGATTTTTAGAATTTTCGGTTTTTCAATTTTTCCATTCTCAACTGTTAGACTTCAATTTTGTTACTTTCCGATTTTTTGGTTTTCGATTTTCCAATTTTCAGAATTTCCAAGTTTCTTTATTCAGATTTTCGATTTTCCACTTTTTCGATTTTAGATTTTTCGAATTTTTGTTTTTCTAATTTTTTGCTTTTTCGATTTTTCAGTTCGTTTCAGTTTTTAGGCTTTGCAATTTTTTTTTACTTTATATATTTTGATTATTTTAATTTTCGATTTTTTTATTTTTGTTTTTGATTTTTTTAATTTTCAATATTACAGATTTTTGACTTTTCGATTTTTTGGTTTTCCCGTTTTTCAATTTTCGAGTTTTCAATTTTTGAGGTTTGTGAATTTCCACTTTTCGATCGACCTAGGTTGATTCATTGAATTTTCGATTTTTTGATTAGCCATTTTTAGATTTTCGATTTTTACGATTTGTATTTTTCGATTTTCTTTTTTTTGCATTAGTGAATTTCAGTTTTTCCGATTTTTGATTTTGCGCATATTTGATTAATCAAATTTTCGAAAAAGTTACCATGCTTACAAAAACTTCAAAACATCTACAATATTTCAAAGTATTCAGTTTTGCTATTCTTGATTTCTTCATCGAATTTTCGAGTTTTCGATTTTCGATTTTTTTTTATTTTTCGATTGTTCTGTTCGTCAGTTTTGTGACTTTGCAATTTTTACTTTTCCACTTTTCTATTATTTTAGTTTCGGATTATTCAATTTTTGAATTTTCTTTTTTTTTTTATTTTTCGATTTCCGATTTTTTAAGTTTTCGATTTTTCGGTTTTTTAATTTGTCGATTCTCGATATTCCGATTTTCGATTTTTCGATTTTCCAATCTTCGATTTTTCAATTTCCAATTTTCGATTTTCCACTTTTTGATTTTACGATTTTTCGATTTTTCTGTTCGTCAGTTTTTAGGCTTTGCAATTTGTTTACTTTTCGATTTTTCGATTATTTTTTTCCAGTTTTTTGATTTTTCAATTGTCGACTTTTAGAGTTTTCAATATTATGAATTTTCGAATTTTCGGTTTTCCTATTTTTCGATTTTTGATTTTTCCATTTTTCGGTTTTTTGATTTTTCAATTCTCGGTTTTTCAATCTTGCAAATTTTCGATTTTTCAGATTTGTGAATTTCCAGTTTTTCGATCGACCTACGTATTAGATTCATTGAATTTTCGATTTTCGGTTTTTCCATTTTTTGATTTTTGATTTTCCAGTTTTGTATTTTCAGATTTTCTGTTTTTCGCATATCTGATTTATCAAATTTTCGATTTTTCGGCTTTTCGATTTTTCGATATTTGATTTTCGAATTTTCGATTGTTCAGTTTTCCATTTTTCAGCTTTTAGACTTCAATTTTTTTACTTTTCGATTTTCCAAATTTTCGAGTTTCAATTTTCAGATTTTTGATATTTCGATTTTCTTTTTAAATCTTTAAATTTTTCGGTTTTGATTTTTCGAATTTTTGATTTTTAATTTTTCCATTCTTCGGTTTTTAGACTTCAATTTTCTTTCTTTTAAATTTTTCGATATTCGATTTTCCGCTTTTCAGAATTTTCGATTTTCAGTTTTCAGAATTTCGATGATTAGAATTTTGGATTTTTCAGTTTTATGATTTTTCGTTTTTTAGAAAATTTGAGTAGTCGAATTTTCGATTTTTCAATTCATCGATTTTTCTATGTTCAATTTTTCAATTTAAATTTTGCGATTTTCAATTTGTCCATTGTCGATTTTTAGAATTTTCGGCTTTTCAATTTTTCTATTCTCAACTGTTAGACTTCAATTTTGTTACTTTCCGATTTTTTGGTTTTCGATTTTAAATTTTTCGAATTTTTGTTTTTCCAATTTTTTGCTTTTTCGATTTTTCAGTTCGTTTCAGTTTTTAGGCTTTGCAATTTTTTTTTTCTTTATATATTTTGATTATTTTAATTTCCGATTTTTTTATTTTTGTTTTTGATTTTTTTAATTTTCAATATTACAGATTTTTGACTTTTCGATTTTTTGATTTTTCTGTTCGTCAGTTTTTAGACTTTGCAATTTTTTGCATTTTTCGATTATATTTTACTTTCCGATTTTTTTGATTTTTGAATTCTCGATTTTACGTTTTTAATTCTTCGATTTCCGATTTTTCAATTTTCCGGTTTTTTAATTATTCTATTCTCGATTTTTCGATTTTCCATTGATCATAAAATTTTTCGATTTTTCGGTTGTTTTATTTTTCGACCTTCGATTTTTCAACTTTCGATTATTCGATTTTCCATTTTCTGATTTTACGATTTTTCGATTTTCGTTTTTCCGCTTTTGTGGTTTTTCGATTTTTCTGTTTGTTTCAGTTTTTATGGTTCTGCAATTTGCAGCTTTTAGATTTCAGTTTTGTTACTTTCCGATTTTCCACTTTTCGATTTTTTGATTTTTTTCGATCGTCGTTTTTTCGATTTTTTGATTTTTCAATTTTTAGGCCTTGCAATTTTTTTACTTTTCGCTTTTTCGAGTATTTGTTTCATCGAATTTTCGAGTTTTCGGTTTTTCCATTTTCCGATTTTCGATTTTCCATGTTTAGATATTTTTCGATTTTTTTTTATTTTTCGATTTTTTTTATTTTTCGATTGTTCTGTTCGTCAGTTTTGTGACTTTGCAATTTTTTCTTTTCCACTTTTCTATTATTTTAGTTTCGGATTATTCAATTTTTAAATTTTGTTTTTTT